ATCATATTGATCAGATACAATAAGATGTTATAAAATATATATACATTATGATCCATTCCCAAATAATACTGATTGTGTTCAAGTCTCTTGCATTTTGTTTATATTTATTTTCTTTCTTTTTTCTCCATCATTATTAAGGTATAATTGACAAATGAAAATTGTATGTATTTATGCTGTACGAAATGATTTTTGAAATATGTACATATTGTGGAATGATTGTCAAGCCAATTAACATCTCCATCACCTCACAGTTACCTTTGTAAATATGGAAGTATGTTAAAAAAATAATTTAAGACCTATTCTTGTAGCAAATTTCAAGTGCCTATCTGATACAGTATTATTTTCTACAGTCACCGTGATGTGCATTAGATCTCTAAAGTGTATTCATCCTGTGTAACTAAAATTTTGTACTTTTTGATAGAGATCTCATGTCCTTCAACTCCTAGTCCCCAGCAACCACCCTACCACTCTCTGCTTCCATGAGTTTGACTTACTTCGATTTCACATATAAGTGAGTTCATGCAGCATTTTATTTTATATAAATGGTTTACTTCCCTTAGAATAATGTCCTTCAAGTCCATCCACATTGTTGCAAATAATAGAATTTTCTTCTTTTTTCCTTCCTTTTAACACTGAATGAATAGTATTCCCTTATGCATACATAGCATATTTTCTATATCCATGAATCTAGTGATAGACACCTGGGCTAATTCCTTATCTTGACTATCATGAATAGTACTGCAACAAGCACAAGAGTGCAGATATCTGTGAGATACTGATCTCATGTCCTTTGGAAATATATGCAGAAATGGGACTGCTAGATCATATAGTACTGTATTTTTTACCTTCATACTGTTTTCCATAATGACTGCCACCAATCTACATTCTAACCATCAATGAACAAGAATTCCCTTTTCTCCACATCCTCATCAACACTTGTTATCTTTTGTTGGTTGGGCTTATTTTAAATGACCTTGAAAGTGTATATATTTGCCCAGCCTAAATGGACTTGCATCATTACCTTGGCTCTCTAGCATTTTCTAAGTTGCAAAGTAATGCGCCCAGTAGATGGACAAGTGACCATATTACCTGACCAACACACAGTGATTCAGAGCTAAGGACTGAGTTAGGGAACACATTCCTATCCTGTGATGTCTAGGCATAATCACTGATATCCCCCCCACCCATGCTAAATTACATTTTCTTTATGTGTTCTAATGTTTTGCTTTTCTACAATATCTGTGTATGGACAATTTTCTCAGATCTCTTTATGTCAACTTGACTGGACTGAGCGATGATGAGGAAATAGTAAAGAATATTTCTGGGTGTGTCTGTGAGGGTATCTCCAGAGACTTTTGACATATGGGACAGCAGCTGGGGGGTTAAGACCTGTCGTTAATGTGTGCAGCACAATCCAATAGGAAAAAGGGGAAGCCAGTTGTATGCAAGCTTCATTCTTACTGAGTGTGTGTGTCTGTTGCTGCTGCCATCACCTGTGGATGACAGACTCCAGCTTCTTCAACCTTTCAACACAAAGTCAGACCAGTGATTCTCTACAGAGCTTCTAGGCCTTCATCCACAGACTGGGGCTGCATCAGTGGTCCCCTTTGTTCTGACACTTCCGCTTTCCTGGGCTGAGCAGCCAACAGGTTCCCTGGCTTTCCAGACTGCAGACAGACATTGTGGGACTCCAGCCTCCAAATGTGTAAACCAATCTAAATAAATACCATTTATGACATAATATCTATATGCTATTGGTTCCATTCCTGTCAACCTGTTGAAACCTAACTAATAAAGTAACTCTTTTCCACATACTACAAGCCTTCACAGGCAGACACACCTAATCAGGCAAAAATCTCAGCTTCAACAGAAACTCAGTTTTCTAATCAGAAAAATGGAAGAATAATACCATGTATTTCCAAGAGTAGCCCTGAAGATCAACTGAAATTACTTCCCATGCAAGCACTTGGCACAGTGCCCAACACATCCTGGAATTCTACTTAAGATGTTATTTTCCTCTGTCCTTCCACTTGTTTTCCAAGAGAGCATAGATGAAAGTGCTCTGAATAATTTAGAAAACTCAAAGCAGGTGCTTAGCACTTATAGGCTCAAGACCATCGGTGACGCTCTACATTGTGACACTCTGGAACTTCTGAGATCAGCCTACTTGGTTCCATTCATTTTAACATGTGTTAGCATTTCTCCTTTGGTTTGTCTTTTATCGATTGCCAGGCCTGTGAGAGGGGACCTTCCACACCTGCAATGTGTGCATCTTTGTTCTGACTCTACACTACAGTCTTCCATTTTATTCTGGGAGAGCTGCCTCCTTAAAAAGGGTTTCCTTTGAATGCTGGATGAAGAGGGCACAAGCTTGCAATCCTAGTTACTGGGGAGGCTGAGATGGAGAAAACCATGGATTGGGGTCAACCAAGGTAGAAGAGTTTGTAAGACCCCATCTCAACTCATGGCTGGGTGTGGTGGTATGCACATGTCATCCTAGCCAAGTGGGGAAGCACAAATAGGAGGATAAATCAAGACCTTATCTCCAAAACAACCAACTCAAAAAGAGCCACTGGCAAAGTGTCTCAGGTGGCAGAATACCTACCTGCATGAGGCCCCGAGTTCACCTCCCAGTACTGAAAAAAACCAATTAATTAATTTTTAAAATGGGGGAGCAAGGAAACCTTAATTTCATACTGTGATTTGAATCCATTTTATGACAGAGAGGTAGAGATGGGGATCCCAAGTGCATCATATTTAACATGAAGCCATTTCCACTCAGGCTATACCTTAGCCATTGTGAAATTGCATCACAAATCTTCAAATCACTCTAATAGTTAGAAGCTATATTGTACTCAGTTTTCTATTTTAATTGACTAAATGGGTGTGTGTGCACATATATGTATGTGTGTGTAGGTATAGGTACACACACACTTATGTGAGTTCACCAAAACTTTGGTGATATCTGGTAGAAGGAAACTCCCAACCACTGCCTTCCCTCCAGTTCCATCTTACTTTTCACTGTTCTTCATCTGCCTCTTGCCAAAAACCAGAGGTACCAGTGAGAAGAGAATTAAGGTATTTTGATTCCTCTTATAAGCCAGGCTCAGTGCTAGACACTTGATCCTACTTGAACCCACCCAATTGCCCTTAAGGTCAAGTATTATTGTTGCCATTTTAAGGTAAAGACACCAGAGTCAAGTACTACAAAGGCCACCATCGGAGCCCTCAGAATATGGAACAATGGGACTCACTTTTGTCTCCAGACCACAGTTCCTCACCCATTCTGGGGACTAGCTCAGGAAGGTTCTGCTCAGTAGGCACAGTGAAGATACTAGTGTATGGTGCTGATGAGTGAGTCCAGGCTGAAGAGAGAAAGGCCTCTGTCATGAGGGCAAAGCCATTGTCTGGGTTTCCTAAGTGATAGGTTGCAGAGAAAGATGGGAAGAGAAAGACCTGGGCTTGAATTCCTACCCTGCCAGTTACAAGTTATGTCATTTTGAGCATCTTATGAGCACTTTGCACCTCCATTTTCCATCTGAAACAAATGGAGATAACAGCATTTATCTCAGACCATCACAAGTATTAAATGAAAGAACACATGTGAAACTTCCCAGCACAGATCTTGGCATACAACGGATGCTCCATAAATGTTTGTTTCTTTATTCCCTTCCCCCAATTCCAATGCATGCACAGACTCCCTTTATAAGGTGATAGGTTTGTATTAAGTATCACTTCCCTCCCCCCACCATGTTCACAATCTCAATGACTTGATGAAATGGAGCAGTATCTAGAAATGACAATTCTTAAGAATTTAGAATAATGAAATAAGAATATGATACAGTGGAATTACTGTCTTCATTTCACATTTTTTTCTTCCTTGTAATTGAAACCATTTTCAAGTTTTATTTAGTACAAAATTAATTTCACATTTTCATCAAGGAGCTCGTGTGGATCTCAGGGTGATTCAGATTTTCCGATACAGAAATTCATAGCATTCATTACTGGTGTTTTTCAAGACAAAAGAGTTTATGCCAGAAGAGACCATTTCAGTCCTGCTGTATGAGCAAAATAAAAAACTTTTCATGGCACTGTTAAATTCAGGACTACAGTAACGTTTTGTAAGAGAGCTGATTAAAAAAAATTTTTTTTCAAACCTAGATGAGTTACTCAGGCCCAACTTTCAAGTTTCCTAAATAAAAAACACAACTTGATTTACTTTAGGAACAAACTAGTTTCCTCTTGAACTGAGCTTAGAGCTGACTCTGGACTCACTTGTCAAGGAGAAATGCACATTAAGTCAACATGTGTGGGTGAAGTTCTGGCCACGGACTCCAGGAAAGTTGGCATCTCGAGCCTCAGACTGGCACAGGCCACATGGGGCCATTCCATGGCTGGCACAAAGGAAGAGCCATGCTGTATGGCGTGGGAATGAGGACCCCTCGAGGCTGGGCTCTATCCCAGGCAAAGAGAAGCAGAAGGATTGCTTTGGGGACCTGGCCTACCAATTTAGAGGGCAACTCAGGCTTTGAATCTCCAGAACACCACCAGCCGCACTGGGGCGGTGAGCCGGGTACAGCGGCCACAGAAAGGCAAAGGGGTGCCTTCTAGAATGCCCTGCAAGTACATTGCACCAGAGTCCACCAGATCTGACCTTGAGACTTTTTGTGTGACCCTCTTGATGCTGAAATCAAACCGTCATCTTCCCTGGCTCTGCCCTAAGCCCAGAGAGCCCCTTATCCAGGATGCAGTCAATCTCCTATTCCCTTGCTCTTGGGAGAGGTGACATTACTTTCCTGGCTTAGTGCTCCTAGTTCATGGTTCTTCTTTTTTCTCCCCCTATAGTTCAGGAGTTTTCACTACATTCACAGTAGTAGCCATCACCACTATCTAATTCTAGAACATTTTCATCACCCCATAAGAAACCCTGTACCCAGTAAGCACTCTCTCCACATTCCCTGCTGCCCCCACCCCCTACTCCCAGCCCTTGAAGCCACTATCCTGCTTCTTTCTCTGTGTATCTGCTAATGTTGGATGAATGGTGCCCCTTACAGAGCACTTTTGTCCTTGGTCAATATCTGAGAAATGATGGTCAAAGGATGGTACAAGTCATTTCAAAATCCCCACGTGTCCTCAGCAAAGTGTTAAATAGCCCTCAGATAGCTGGGTTTTGCTCTGTTACTTCATTTCCTAAAATCTATCCATTACATTGCAACAAACCCAAACTCTTGACTAATCAGAACATACATGCATGTGACTAAGTATGTCCCTCAAATGTATGGATGTTCTGGTTTCACAGCAGGGAAATTCTCCTTGACTCACTATTACAAGGCCTTGCTACTGTCAAGTAAGAGGAAATACGCCAATACTAGTTTCCAGGCAGAAGGAAGAACTCTTGATTGTAGCCTGGCACAGCAGAAGAAGCACCACTTGATTTGGGCCAAGTTGCCCCTGCCTCTGGGTCTCATGGAATTTGTTCCCCTCTGGATCTAATATCTGAGCTTACAGAAGTACAGGATGGGGGTTGTCATCCATCGATCTGTCTGAGGCCTCCTGGCAACACTTGGGGAGCACAGTACAGTTTTGTAGAATTATGTTCAAAGGTCAACTCTACTTGTTAAGATTCTTAAGGTGTCTGTTTCATTTAAATCAAGTTTTGTGTTTGTACATGTGTGTTTTTTAAGGGAAAATGGAATCTACTGAGAGAACAATTCCACATAAATTAGAAACACGTGCAGGTGTTCAGTAGGTCAGCTTTGTAAAGACGTGTTATTATATCTTGTGTTTATAGGAACTGTATTCACAGACAAGGCCGCCATATGCATTTTATGATTCTCTGATGCCCAGGTTCACCAATCCTCCTCAATCCTGATGTATTGTTTAAATGCAAAAACTCTTTTTTCACTCTGTGAGATAGAATAAAGAAAGAAAAACATCATATTATAATTTAAAGAGCTCTAGCTTAGCTAAACAATGAGTACACTCATGAAACAGTTCATTGTGTTGTCACATTTGACAACAAAAAGTGGAACAGACATTGGTGAAGACCACATTACTTTAAAGTAGCTTTGGCCTGTTTTGCTTAGATTTTAATAGCGCTGCCCACAGAGGGGCCAATTTCCTGTGTGAATATGAGAAAGATTTAGAGACAAGATTAATACTGTTCATAGGACTTTCTGCATTTAAAATTAAATGCATAAAACCGCATTTCATGTGCTGTTTACAATTATTGCTTCCTCTTCTTGCTTCCCAAAACTGCTAAATCTTTAATACCAATATATGACAGAGGAAAGTAAGAATAAGATAGAAAACCAACACTTATTGACTGTCTTATCATCTCTAAAGGTTTTGATCTATTTGATTTTATCTTAATGCTTTACGACGATCAGGTCAGGCAGATATTATCTCCATCTTACAGATGGGAAAGCTGAGGGCACATAGATTTAATAACTTATATTGAAGTCTGACATAACCATATAACATTTGGTATTAGACTAGAAGTTTCCAAACAGGGTGGGAGGAGCCCTCAGTGGGGGGCCTGGCAATCCTGCTTTTATTACAAACTTTGCCACTTTCTTGTAGTGTAGTGGGAGTGCCAAGAATTCCCTGGGCTTCTCTTTGCTCCTGCCCCATTTGCCTCTTGTGGGTATCATCACCATCAAATAAGGGAGTAAATGCCGGGAACTGGGGAAGACTATGAAATTCAAAAGTAAAGTGTTTGGGACTGGAGGTGTAGCTCAAGCAGTAGAGCACCTGCTTAGCTAGCAAGCACAAAACCCTGAGTTCAAACCCCAGTCCCACCAAAACAAAAAAATCTAACTCCCTCAAAGATAAAGTATTTGTATCATATGATTTAATGATCTCTAGACATCTTCAAATGGCATTCTAATCCACTGAACTGTGAGAAGAATTTACTCAACCTAAACATTTCATTTGACCTTAAAATTAGGAAAATACATAGACATATTGATAATAGAAGGTGCATAATTTTTCAATAAATTTACAGATATTAGGCATGGATACCCTCATTTTTTTCAACATGATCAGAAAAGTTTGAAGAGCACAAAAAAACAATAGAGCACACAATAAACAATAGAAATCCAAAACATGAATTATTATAAGCAGGTGGCTACAGGTGCAAAATGAAACTACTACTGGGCACTGGTAGCTCACACCTGCAATCCCAGCTACTCAGTGGCAGAGATCAGGAGGATCGAGGTTCAAAGCCAGCCCAGGTAAATAGTTTGCGAGACCCTATCTTGAAAATACCCACCACAAAAAAGGGCTGGCGGTGTGGCTCCAGGTGTAGGCCCTGAGTTCAAGCCCCAGTACTGCAATAAAAAAGAAACTACCAATTGAGTAATTAATTCAGTGCTACTACACTAATAACTTGTCAAATAGTTGTTTTCCTTCCTCAAACATCCCAGCATAATGAAAAGACCATATAAGTCACTTCTTTTTTCTTCAAATGGAGTTCAATTGCATAGTTGAAGTATTCACTATCTCCAGTTCATAACACTTTGCTATCATTAGTCCAAGTAGGGTGGAATTTAATTTCATTCAAACATTTGCATATTGTGTGATTCATTCATTCATTCAGTTATAACACCATGAATACCTCAGGACCAAGGTCTCTGCTCGAGAACTTGAATGGCATTTACCCATGTTTACGTCTTATTACCCTCTACTATCCTTTCTCTTATCCCCACCAAGAAGTCATCAGCATCCAGAGTTCATGATTATCTCTCCTTTGCTTTAAAAAGTTTAACTCTCTGTATATATGCTTAAATAATACAGTTCAGTTTTTGCTTGTTTCTGAACTTTATAATTGAAGTATAACATTCTAGAAAGTTTTGGGACTTCTTTTCACTTAATATTCAGTTGAATACCATTCACGTTGTTGTACACCAACACACTGCTGTGTAATATTCTATTGTGTGGTTGCACAATAAGCTCATTGTTTTCCTGAGGATGACATTTGGACTATTTCTTTGCAATTAAGCCCAATACTGTCTTGAACATTCTTATGCATATATGACTCTTGGTATTCCTTATAAGAATTGTCTGAGAAAACACAGAGAACTGGAAAATTTGGGTAAGGAGATCCATTTAAGATAGGGAAAGAGGCTTGTGGAGGTTCAGTAAGCTCTCCATAGCCCATGTAGGGTTGGGTTTGGGCACAAATCTGACTTCAGAGACCATGTTCTTTCTACTGAACCATAAAGACCATACCAGGAAGTACAGAAGGAACCCACCAGTGCTGTACGGCCTTTTGAATTGCCAGGACAGAGTTTCCATGGGAATTTCTCATTTTCTGTGCAATCTTGGAATAGTTAGTCTTACAGCATTGCACAACACAGTGATGGAAAATGTCACCTGACTTCTTTATCTGTTAAACGAACATTAAGAATAGTTATTTGACCAAACTCTGCTATTGTTCCTTCATCTATCATACAACAGCATTACTTACCAATGGAAAAGCATGTCCCCAAATGCCACAGCAGGACTGTCAAAGTTACAGTTGTAAATTATTCTTCTAAAAGCAGCAAAGCTGACCTCTTTCTTAACACTCAGCTATTTTAATCTACAAATTGTTTAGCTCACAGCATTTCTTTTTCCCAAGACTTCAACAGTATAGCAGCTATTTCATTTCCTTTTGCATTTCCCCAGGTGATCAGAAAGTAGCACTCTTCTGAAGCAGGCCACATTTATATTTTCAATAAATGGATTAAGAGAGTAAGTTTCATAAACCCACTAGACATATTCTCTCACTTAAGGGACCCAAACACTGAAGCAAAATTGTAGGAATATAAGTAATTTCAAGAGTTTACATAACAAAGACAGTTGTACCTCTGTGGTCTATCATTTTGAAAAAACAAAAACCAAAAAAGTCCGAGAGCAATATACCTGCCAACCACAAGCAGGATTTCCTTCAAGACCTAAGTAAAGATTGTGTCCCCAACAAACTATCCCTGATAGTCCTTATTTGTGTTGCTCAATCCCATTCTCAACACTGGCAGATGACACTCAGACTATATTATTAATTTCCAGGTTAGGCACTGTCTGTTTTTTTAAGTTGTTTATACATTTATTCATATGTGTGTACATCATTTCGGCCATCTCTCCCCCTGCATTAGAAGAAATTAGGATTTCTCCTATTCTTTTGTGAATGCCTGCATTCATCCTTCTATCCCGCCATCCATGCAGCAGACCTCTTCAGAGCAACATGAAGACTCCCAACACCTTGCTCGATGCCCCCGAGAAGGCAAAGCTGAGAGATATACTTATAATTTGAACTCAAAATGAACAGGAGCTGACTCAGTAGAGATAAGAAAAAAAAATGCAGCAGAATGTTCACGGTGGTTGTCTTAATTATGTAATAAGTTCTTCTGTTTCTTTTACTCAGTTTTGTATAGCTTTAATAAGAGTTATGTATTTCGTTTATATCAGAGAGGAAAGCTATTTTAAACAAACTCTTATCACTAAATTGAAAGGCCAAAGTCAAATTTACAGAACAAAGAACAGATAGGAAAGTAGTAAACAAGCCCTCAGATAGGACTCAAAAGCCTGAATTTGAGCTGAGACTTTGCCCTTTGCTATGTGAACTTTGCGAAGTTTGGTGGCCTTGGCTATAAATTGAAGATGAGAATATTTCCTCCATAGGGTTGTTCTGAGGACTGTAGGAGACAATGTGACTGAAAATGCTTTCTGGGGGTTAAGTAATGAAAGGTGTTACTCTTGATATGAATTGGGTCTGATTTCAAATTGAAGGTGCTGGATAGTCAGGTCTATTGTAGACACCACTCAGGATTTTATAGGCTTATACCCACACAAGTGGTTTAAAAATTTGCTTCTCCCCACCCTGCAGTTGTCACAATTTGCTCAAGATGAGTGAGTGCTTAAAAAAACATCTTGCCAATTCAAGTACTCTTTCTATTCACAATTAAGATGCAGGCATTGGGGACCACAGGGGCAGTGGCTTGGCAAATCCCCTGGGCTCATGTTTCTTTCATCTTCTTCTGGGCTAGAATGAAATTACAAAGATCTATTTGATTGTATTTTCTCAAGTCAGGGAAACTACAGGAAGCAAGCTGATTTATTTATCTTACTCTGTCTATGCCGAAGGTAAGAAGAGATGGTAAACTTTGGTTTAGAGGCAAAAAAATTAACCTCTACTATGATCAAGCCTGGACTTCCTAATACTCTACATTATCCTTCTTCAATTTCCTTCATACTTTTGGGATTCACTGTGCCTCTAACAAAATACTGAGTGGAATATTCACTCTACTCATCACTCACCTAGCAGTGGAACAGACCCTTCTCAGAATATCCTGACACAGCATTTCCCCTGGTTCTAAATTTCTCTGTACCAAGCAAAAGAAACAGTTTTTCAAAATGTATTGACAAAGGTTGCTTAAAGTTAAAACTGGTCCAAGAAGTCTCAGTAAATCACAAGGCACAGGGCATCTCCACCTCTTCTGAACCTCAAGACTCCAGTCTCCCCCTCCCCTCCCCACTTCATTAAATGGAAAGATAGCAGCTGTTGGAGGTCAGATTACTCTGGGCCAAATCCTGGCTCCCCTGCTTATGAGGTTTATGGGCTTAGGTAAGGCAGTTGGCTTCTTGAAGGCCCAGTTTCTATGTAGAAGAACACCTAACCTGCAAGGGCTATTGTGAGGATTAAAGAGAAAGCAGGAAAGCACCAAGCACCATGCCTGGCACGTAATCAGGCTCAATAAATACTTGTTTCTGCCCCAACCCCAACCCCCACCCCCCTTCCTGGCCTATTTAGTGCCATGTCTTGATCGTACATTCATCACAAATTCCTGGACCAGTGGCACATCGGATGTTCCAAGCATTCAGACGTAATAAATAAATCCTGGCCCCTTTAGCAGACCACCTACAGCTGCCTGACATAGACACCCTAGGAGGAGAGCAGCTGCCAGACAAAGGGACAAGGGACAGGCCTCCATCTGCACCTCTACCCTCTTGCCTCCAGTACCGAGGGCAGCCATGGTCATCCCCCCACACCAAGGGGACTCCAGGGAGGGATTTCAGTGTTCAGATGACAGATCAGCCATGCTCTCTGACCCAGATTAGAGTTCACCCACTTGTGTCACCAGCAAACGATGTTAATTCACTCCCAGGAGACCGTAAGAAACACTTGGGTCAGTAACATGCGTAATCTGGCTGAGTTTTGCACCAAGCCTTCGTAAGGCTGTAGGTTCCACTAATATTTCACTGGCCTATCCATCTCACTCTGTCTGTGGGAGCCAGGCTGCAAATTCAGCACTCTTGTGTCCCTCAGACAGTTGGGGGAGGGAGAGGTGAGGAGGATGCAGAAGACTCCAGGGACGAGAAGAAAGGAAAATACACAGAGAACCTAACTCAGGGCTTTTCGGAGTGTGGCTCCCAGTCCACCAGCCTACGCATTACCCCAGAGCTTGCTAAGAATACAAATTGCCAGGGCCAATGGGGTCCCAGTGAGTCAGCCCTGTGGTGGGGTCGCATGCTGTTTTCACAAGCCCTCATGCAAATCCCAGCCATGCTATGGTTTGAGAACCACTGACCTGGCTGAACAATGTTTTTGTAAACAGAAAGTCTAAATTTGATGGGAAAAGCAAAGGCCAAAGGAAGGATGCTTGTGTTAGGAACCTTCAGTGTCAATTCCAACTCCAATGAAAACTTTTCTAAGCCTCAATTTCCTTGTGTGTGAAATAGGGGCAGTTTGTCCTCTCCCTCAGAGCTAGGGATGACTTATACACTCTCTGGATAGCCTACGTTTATAAGCTTGGACTTTTCTCCATTACACCACACAGCTCATTCCCCATGTAGACATTATTTAGGCTCTCCTCACATTAGAGCCATATAATTCTTTGGGAGGACTGACTGTCCTGTACATTTTAGGAGACTTAGCAGCATCTCTGGCCTCTACCCACTAGTGATCTATACCTGCTCCTGGCTGTGACAACCAAAAATGTCTCTAGACATTGCCAAACTTCCCTGCAGGGCTAGGAAGCCAAAGCATCAGATTCAGTTAGACATAAGAGTCATATGCCAGACTCCCCACCAACCAGATCTGTGACCTCAGGCATGCCTAGTGACCTAGCTGACTTCAGTTTCCTCACCTGCAGAATGGTGAATACACCATCTACCTCCCAGGAGTGAGGTAAGATTAAAGAGCTAGCATAAGTAAGACACTCAATAAATTTATACTCCATGGTGAAAATCTGATCTTTCTGTGCTTCTGATTGACTGCTAAGAGGCAGAGGGAAGGCTGACCGCTCTTAAATTACAAGGTAAGGGACAGCCAGAGTCATGAAATAAAATAAAGGCAAGCAGAGGTCACAGAGAGAGGCTGAGTCTTCACACCCTGCTGAGCTCGTCATATAGCACCCCCCCCAAATAAGGAAAAGGACACGAACAGACAACCTTTTTGACAAGTCATGTGACATGTGACCGTCCATGTTCCCATTATGAAGCTTGAAGCCAGTCACTAACGGAGCATCATGTGTTGCTCACATCAGCATGGCCAACTGGAGCACAGTGAAGAAAAAGGAATGGCTAAGAGCTTCTGGTTCTCATAGACCTGAGTTCACATCCTAGCTCTGCACACATTGGCTCTGTGAGCTTGGCCAAAGAGCTTAAGCTCTCTCAGCCTCAATTTTCATATTGATAAAATGAGGAGACAAATGGCAGCTACCTCTTAGGACCTTTGCAAAGCTTGACATGAGATCATATGTGTGCAACACTTAGCATAGTGCTGGAAACTTACCATAATATTGCTGTGCTGCGGTCTTTTCAATGCCATCATATTTGGCTAGGCTTGAGTCAGCAGGCATGATAAAACTGGAAACATCGTCTCCTGAACATGATCACAAAAATTGCATCAGTATGAAAAACTGATTCAGCATTTCACACGCCATGATTTGGTCCTTTAAATACCATTATGAATTTAGGAGCCACCCAGAGAGGACAATTTCCACCTAGCCCTAAAAGATTAATCACAATACAGCTTTAAAGGAACAAACTTCTCAATAACCCCAGGACATATGTTTGAGGATATAGTCTTCTTAAACTCAACAATAGGCTAGAATCTCTCTAGGACAAGAAGGAGGCTCCTCTATCCATACTATCATTTACTGGCCATTTAAAATAATGTAGCTCAGTGTTACCTATACTGCTCACTTTATCCAAACGACCACCATTTGAGGAAGGTTCTACTATAGCTCCATGTTACATGTGAAGCAACTGAGGCATAGAGAACTACTTGTATCTATTCTACCTCAGGCAGACAGGACTGATACAATTCCGGTTTTAAATTTTATAACCAATTATGTCGCCTACTTCACCATCTAATATTTTCCACAGTCAGAATTATCTTCCTCTATACATTAAGCTCCTAGTTGCTCTGAAACCTAATTTAGGGAGGTGAAAGGAAGTGGCCTAAAGTCAGGGTCGTGGACTGGATTTATCATCTTCTCCAAACATCTTTGCATCCAGGACAGACACAGCTCCGGGGAAGGAAAAGAAAGTTTCAAGGATGTAGAGGTGTCCCTATTCTCTCTACCAGGATGGAGCTCCCATCCTGGATGTGGCTGAATAGCGGTTACATCCCACCTTCAATCAGCGCCCTTCTGGGGAACCAAATGAAGTCCTTCCTTCCTTTTTGAAGGTCACCCAATTTTACTCATTTCCACATTCTTTGGTTTCTGAATATCAACTGATCATAAATTTAATGCCTCTGGACTCTGTCCATTTATTTTGGATCTGCGGAGATTGTGCCGTCAACCTCTGGACCGTTTGATGGTTCTCCAGATAGAATTGTACTTAGAACTCCTCTCAGATTCTCTAAAAGCTAGAAAGAGTTAGAGGCACATCATTAGGAAGCTGTATAGACAAGGACAGAGTGTGGGGGGTGATTAGGTGACTGCTGGATTGGTTTATATGCAAAGGCGGACTGGAAATTGCTTTTGCCATAAAACTTTCACTTCTAAGCTTAATCCAGTAGGAAAATTCTTCCCTGTGTCAGAGGAAGAAACCAAACAATAAGCATGCTTTGCGACCGGACTCACAAATTTTCATTTTTAAGATGTTCTGCGCCATTGGCCCTTGAGTCATAGTGCTTGCTCGGCAGTGGGAATTAATGTAGAGGAATTGAGAGTCATGACCTATATTAATCCTCAGTCTAGTAATGCTCCAATTCATGTTGGAACTGACTTTGTCTCTAAGGCCTGAAACAGCATTTGATCTCACCATTTTTCCCTCTGTTGGACACATCTGCACGTCTGAGTTCCAGGCTAAATGGAAATGAACAAAAGTCAAATCTTACAGCCGGAAAACCTGTTTATTTTAATTGATGGTCTTAAAGTTTGCATCTGGGAGGAAGTGTGTTCTAATTGCTAAAATTGTGAGTGATTCCTAACGTCGTGGGTTCTAGTCGTTTTTCCTCTTGCCAATTAATCATATAAGGTCTTTGGTGATTTCATTTAAACTAAAAGTGACCTATTTTCCCAGTGAACACCAAGACCCTAGAACTATTCATGTGCAAGTAAACATCTAAAACGAAGAATTAAATTCTGGGCAAGGAGTTTGAGTTATGATCAAACCTGATGAAGAAAGAGACTCAAGTAGGGATTGCTTTTAGAAAGGTAGCATCACCAGCCTGGTATTTGCAAGGTGCTGGTTAAAAAAATTAATGATTTGATTCTCAAACTTGGTTTGCAGTTGCACATATCTCCACACAAAAGGCCAGAATGCATACTGGCAAACAACTTACATTCCTTCAAAAACCCAAAAGAATCTATGTATTTATCCTGGATAAGAGTCTACAGGTAGGCTGGGGGCATAGCTGAAGTGATAGAGCACTTGCCTAGCAAGCGTGAGGCCCTTAGTTCAAACCCCAGTATGGCCAATAAATATGGCATATTATGTAAAACACAAAATTCCTTCAGTGAGAAACACAACTCACCTGGCAACACTTATATCCTGAGCAGAAGTTCTGATAGGTCATCTTCTATTAAATGAAAAGGCAAAAATGAATTTTTAGTATTAATTGGAATTTGTTTGTCAGGCCAAAGCATTTAAAATATGGGGACTATGAGGAAAAAGCATAATAAAGTGGGTTCTTGATGGAGGTGTTTGTTAAACTATTGGTGATTGGTTTGTTTTGAGGAGGGTCAGAGAAGTGGGGTAAAGATCTGAAGTGGGGTAAAGACCTAAATTGGGGGTGAAAAGAGTACATAATTTCAATCAGGAAGAAATGACTCAAGGGCCCTATTATGCAACATGGTGACTATCATTTATAATGACATACGGTATTCTCTTTTTTGTTGTTTGTTTGTTTTTTGCTTTTTAAGACAGGGTGTGGCTGTGTAGCTCAAACCGGCTTTAAACACTCACTCCTCCTGCATCGGCCACCTGAATGCTGGGATTACAAGTAGGCCCTACCATGCTGGATTCAGTATATTGGATTCTTGAAAATTACTAAGAGTAGATTTTAAATGCTCCTACCACCAAGACAGGAAAAGTCAGCAATGTAATGCATATGTTAATCAACTCAGTTTAGTTATTCCAGATGTATACACGTTTCAAAACATTATACAGTTTCATTTTGTCAACTACAAGCAACTTAAAAAGGAAAAAAAAAATTAAAGTAAGACTGAAAAAAGGAAATAGAGTCACCAGGAAGTAACCCTCAAAGGTTTTACACACTGAGTGCAGTAATAGGTCACAGCCTAGTGCCTACAAATGTTTTTGTTTTGATCATTTTTTTAGGCTTTGCTCACTTTCACTTCTCCAACAAAGAAAATGGAAAATAATTGTTCTCTAACTAGGAGGCGTTTGGGTGAGGTGCACCAGGTACTACCAAGGTAAAGTGCGTTTGACTGATAAGAATATGAGCGCCGACGTGCTGGTTGACCACAACGAGGATGTGTCCAGAGTAGCAACTGGGAGCTATTCTTTTGAACAAAATGCGAATAATACACACAAGCACAGTTCTGCCTGCAGATGGACTATTTCTCCTAGAAACTTGAGGAGGAGCCAAGCAAACACACAGCCAGTGTCCTGCCAGCCTCCCCAGTAGCACACCTGGCAGACATCATTAATCAAGCGGAGACTCTTGCCCAATAAGAGAGCTTGGCCCATGTGCTGCCATCCTCCCCACAGCACACATGGCAGACACCATCAATCAGCTAGCCATCTTGCCCAATAAGAGTCTTTCTCAACCTTGCGTTCCAGGCATTGCTACTAATCAGCCGAGTTTGGCAGAAATCCTGTTTGCCTACCCAGCCTTAAGACAAAGGTGTCACATAAATTTAAGACAATCAGTCTTAGAAACAGTGAGGCAAAGGAGAAAGAGCACAGTACAGAGTCACATAAAGTGTAAATCTCAACTCTGTCACTCAACTAGCTATGTGTGTTTGGCCAAGTGACTTAGCCTCTCTGGGTCTTGGTTTTGCTGTCTCTTAAACAAGGATTATATAAGCCAATAAGATTTCTAAGGATTAAGTAAAGTAACATATCCACACTAGGCAGCACTGTGCCTGGAATTTAGTACGTGTTTAACAAATGTTAATTCTTACTCCCTCCCGTATTAGTCATAAAAGGAGTTGTGTATCTTACCTGAAACTCCAAATTCTCTCTTCTGTACCTCCTCCCAGTCTCCCCAGTTGTGGCTCTTCAGTTGGTGTGTGTACTGAATTCCTCAGATAAGTCAAATTGTAAGAAGAAGTGTTGGTGAACTCTCTTGTGAATTTTAGGACAAGTGGAGAAGTTAATTACAGACTGAGAAATGCCTCATCCATGCACACAAACAGTCCCCAACTTAGGATGGTTTCATTTATAAGTTTTCAACCTTACCATGGTGCAAACAAATGGCAATAAGTAGAAACCATACTTACAATTTTGAATTTGGACTGTTCCAGGGCTACAGAGATGTGGCAGATCCTCCCTCAGGTGCAGCAGTGAACCTCAGCTCCCAGGCAGCCCCAAGAGCTCAAGAGAGACATCTGACATGGTACGGGGTACTGTGTTGCTGACTGGGTGTTCCCTGGGTTAGGTGGATTAAATGCATTTTTGACTTATAACATTTTCAATTTGCCATGGGTTTATCAGGCTGTAATTCCATGGTAAGTCAAAGAGAATGTTTGACACTATATAACCTGTGCCACCAATTGGACAGTTAAACCTATGGAAACCTATTCACATATCACCAAAGCAAAGTGAAGAAAGACAATTAGGGGGCAGCGCTGAGTAGATCCACCATACCCCAGGACACTTCTTGCCAAATGCTTCACTCCAGGTCCTGTGACAATAGGATCATTTGCTCAGCAATCAGCTGCAACCCACAATCTTTCTGTGCTTCCTTCCTCTGGAACAAATAGGGCTTGATCTCTGCACTCCCTGTGACCCGATTCCAGTGCAGATACCAGCTCACGCTGAATCTGCAAGTTTAAAAAACTAGAGAATTGACAAAAAGAGATGGCTACTACCTTGATTTCTTTCCAAACAGCAACCCAGCTATTTCTAGTGGGCAGTCACAAGCCTCGAGTGTCATTCTGACCAATGCTGAGATTAAGCCCATGAGTGATTTGACTGGAGCCTTTGTGGGAGATGAGAATCATGCAGCATAGCAGTGTTTACAGGTTTACAGATCTGCCTGGGGCACCCGACGCCCTTGACTATGATTTATTGTTACAGGACAGAGATTATCTCAGACTGGGCTGGAAATGGATCCTGGCTGAGTTATTTTACTCACCGGATGCGATGTGTGAGAGTCGATGGCCTTGTTTCTCAATTTGTCAGTTGTAAAGGGAGTCCCTGAGGCTCAATTTCAGACCCAGTGTTGTTTATATAGTCTGGCAAAAATACATCACATGTGGCAAAATATTACAAATTCATTTTTATGCTGATGATATGGCTCACGCATAAGAGCAGCTAGTTAATGTGCTTGTCTTTGTATTTGAAATTGCAGCTAAGTTTGTCATGGCACAAAGGGCCTTTTGTGTTTTGAACCAGAAAGAAGAGAAAGTATATGACAGTTTTCAGAAGGGCTAATGAAGGGTTTGATCTGGCTCGGCTGCCATCTGTGAAAGAGTCCTATTATAGCAGTTATGGTCATTATAAAAACATGACATCTGAAGGTATCTGGCAGGATTTTTCATATTATTATTAGTATTATTATTAGTATTATTATTTGGAACACTATGGGAAATGGCTTCCCATTTTCTTGCTTGCCTTTAGGTGGTGGGAAAAGAATAAATGGAACGATGGCTTCCATCTGGTATTTTATTCAAATGCCCTGCGCCAGTCACACGGGATGACGATTTAGCACATATATTAAATACAAAGGGTACACTATGTTTAAAATGTGGAGCTTGTTTTCAACAATCTCTGTATAAATCAACTCACCATAAGTCACAACAAATTGCTTTACACTCTCTCTTTGAAGAATCTTGAGCAGGAAAACCCTCAACATACTTTAAGGAATGTAGAAATACCCCCATAGGGGCAGAAGCTGCATTTCTGAACACAGAACTTGAGAGTGCATATTTGTCAAGAAAGAGCAGTGCCTTTTAAATAAGATGTCATGCTCTATGACACTACAAAAGTTCAAAGAAAAAAAAAGCAAACAAAATCGCAACTTGCTCAGGAATTTAGTGTATTTAAAATGAACATTTACCAAAAGGGAAAGGAAAAGGATGGAGTTGTTTCATACTTATTTCAGATTTTTTCTTACAATATCCCATCTTCCCCCACACCAAAAGATAACCAGTGGCTGCCTGGCCACGGGTAATTTGGATTTAATTGTGTTTGCTTAAGCTATACATTCCATTCCCAAACCATAAAAATGAACCCTAGAAATTGCAAGTTTGAAAACTCTAGAGTCTGTGTCCTCAGAAGAAGATTCCCAGGAAAGTTTTATTGCAACCTGTGTTTACCTTTGGGATCTTTCTCATACACACTGCCTGATTTAGAAGGAGGCATAAAAAAATGCAAGGATGTAAACATGGGCCTTCAAGGAGCAGCATCAAAGCAAGGACTAGCAGAGGCCTATACGAGAAAGCAGAAGGGATCCCAAAAGCCTTTACTTTCATTGTTTCCATGTGTTTGCTTTACAAACATTTACTGAGCACCTACTGTATACTGAGGAGGGAAAGCATAGTGACACAGGCTCAAATCAAATAAGCCTGTGTTCCATAGATGACTTCATAACTTTCTAAATGGTGGATGACTTGGGCAATTATTCGACCCTTTGTGCCAGGCACAGAGTAGGTGGCTGCTATGATTTGGTTGTGTCTTCCAAAGTCACCTGTCAGTAACAACTCCCAATGATATCCTATCTGTCTTGTAAAGGCAAGTCTGCCTCTTTTGCACTTTTACTCCACCCTCCACCTTCCCTTTCTGCCTTCCACCATGGGGTGATGAAGCATGAAGGCTCTTGCCACGTGCACAGCCATATTCTCGGAATTCCCAACCTTCACAACCATATGCCAAACAAGATTTCCCCAGAGGAAGGCTGTCATCAAAAAAATGAACTGAGACAGAGGTCAATGAAGAGTTTTCAAAGAAATATATGGCTAAGTTTTTGTTTCTTGATCTAAAATGTGGCTGTTGGGACATACCCGGCAGAGTTGTTGAGGACATGAATAGGAAACAAGTGGATAGTGTTTTGTTGTTGTTACTGTTTCTCCATTGGTAGTCAGTGGGTTCCCGACCTTTGGTCTCAGGGAGACAGCAGACAAGCAAATCAAGTATTCTGCACTTGAAAAACAAACCAAATCAGGTATGGAAAGCATATGGTGGCAAGATTGAAAAAAAAAGATTCCCAGAAGAAATAACTCTTTAGCTAAGTCTTATAGGTCTGGTAAAACCTAGTCAGGCCAAAGAAGAGAGGCAAAGGGATTAGAAAGGTACAAATGCAAAGAGGTTCAACTACGCTGTATTGAAGAACTTTTGTAACCCCCAGTACAATAAGAAGAAGAAGAAGAAGAAGAAGGAGGTATGAAGCAAGGGTTACTCTGACAGGTGGCCCTGGGGACAGGGATAGAGAATGGGCTGGCAGAGATGAGACACAGTCATTCATCCTGCATCTCTTGGCTATGCCCCGAAGCCTGCAGCATGCCCTGACAGCTGTGAGCTGGGCAGAGCATGCCAGACCACTTAGGTTTTTAAATCCAAACCAGATGCCAATGATGGAGACACAAGTAAGGAGGACTTTTAAACAGGAGCACTTGCTACCACCATCCATGCTGGGCAGTGGGGAGGTACCAGGCTCCAGCCTTCACAGAAGCCACCAGGAAATCTTCAAGAGCCACCAAGAAACTTATTATTGTCCTAAAGGACACAACTCCAGAGGCCTCCTCAAGTCTTAGAGTTGTAATATTTTCAGTGTAAGTCTTAGTTCTGAATTCTTGAGCTTAATAGCTAATCCTATTGATTTTACACTTTAGCTTTCCATCTCTGAACCTTTTATATTTCACCTCTTCCATTTTGTGCTTTAACCTTTTATCTTACTAGCACCATGCTTTTTATCTTTTATTTCAAATACCACTCATTTTATCTCATGTACCTTATCATACAAAGATTTAAAATTTTATTTTTAACTAACACTTTATTCCTTTCCTTTGATATTTTTTTTTCGTGGTCTTACTGGCAATGTTTGGTTTTAGTCTCCTTACAACTTGCTAGTTTCCTTTTATTTTAAAATAATTTCTTCTTCTTTTTCTCTCATTTTTCCTCCACATTTTCCCCCTGCTTTTTCTCCTATTTGATTCTGTTTAGGTTTGTTTTTTTAATGTCCAGGAAGACAAATGCTGATAGAGAAGGAGGCATGGTGAGAGGACACCTCACAGACAGAGACTGTGAACAGACAAACAGGCATCCTCCCCCATTCCCTCCCCCCAGCCCCCACCCCGTGGCTCTGCAGAGTCCTCAGCCCTTCCTACCCCTGCTGTCTCTGAAGCCACCCCTAAAGCACAACCTAAAGGCCCTTCCCCCACCTACCACCTTATGCCCACCAGCTCCACCAAGAAATGGCTTGGATAGTCCTTTCAGAACAGATGCAAGAAGAGAGAGACTTGTCTGCAGGGAATAATGGGTTCACTTTTTCCTCCGGGGCTGCAGCTCTGTAACATAGTACACAAAAGTTATATGCATTAAGTTGTTTTCTTTCTGATATCATATCTACCAGGCCTTATAGGAATTTTGCATGTTTAGAGTCCAATGAGTGTGTGTATGTGTGTGTGTGTGTGTGAGAGAGACAGAGAGAGAGAGAGATATTGAGAGAACTTACCAGAGACTGCTGTGCCTCTGGTGGAAGGTTTTACACATTGTTGGATCTTGCACAGACTCTCACAGAACCTCAAACACTGAAACCCACGCAGCTGGGTTTCCCTAGTAAATGTTCTCAGGAAGAAAGAAGTAGGTAAGACTGAGCCTCTCCACTCTTTGTTGTCTTACAAATGAGAATAGAATGTGATTCCAAGAAGAATGGAGTCTCTGAACATCATTTCATCAGTTCTCAAGATTAGGCCACTAGGTATGAGAGTGCTGTAGATAGCTGTTTAAAAGGCAGATTTCACAAACAAACCCCAGAGATTCTAAGTCTATGTGATGAAGTCCAGGACTAAACGCTTAGACCTTATATCCAGGAGACTTTGATGGAGGTGGTCCATGGACTGAGCCCACATGGACAAGATCTTTGTATATGTTTCTTCCTTCAGAGGTCTGATGGCTCCCTTTGAGGAATCCCACTAATCTTCCCGAAAATGGCTCTTGTCTCACTATTGTACAACCTAAACACAGCCCCAACCCAGCCCAAGAAAGATACTTCTGACTCTTTTCTAAGAAGACTTCCAACAGCCTCACCTTGCCAATGCCACACTCAGCAGAGTGCTGAAATGCTCCCCGTGAGCCCCACTCACCAGGAAGCACTGCCCTGGCAAGGAAGTAGTCAAGCTCCACCTTTGATTCTGGTTTGTCAAACCTGGGGTGAGCTGCTCCACCTGGCAAAACTGCAGCAATGACAGCGAGACACATGAGAACACAGTGCTGCAGACAGAGGGAGGCTTTTCTGGAGATCAGCCAGTTCCTGGGTGAGGGCCTGTGATGTTGGATGCTTTTGTTTGATTGCTGATTTCTCTGTTGTTGTTCTGGTTGATTTTAAAGACTTGAGAGACTAGGGTGTGCTTGAGCCCTGAGGGGGATACATGAGAGGAAAGACTAAGATGAAGGAGAATGAGGACTACCCTGAAAAAGGCCCCAAAAGAACAGTGGAGGTGGATGCGAGCCCATGTCCTCCATTGTGGAAGGAAGAAAGAAATGGAGGATGAGGGTGAGAGTTTGGGATCAGCAGCAGGTTCCAACTAGTAACTCAACTTGGAGACTGAAATTGAGGATAAGTTACAGTGGAACCAAGGTTGCATGGGGGAGTAGTCCCCCCC